GAGTTTATACATTTTAACATTTTTTTTTTAAATCATTCTATCAAAGCCAACATTTAAAATTGGTTTAATTTATATTAAACTAGTTACATCTATGTAAACTAATGAAATTTCATTATTCTTTTCTAATTTGAAATCATTAACCGTCTGTCATTATTAATATTTAAAATAAAACTGATGAATTATGTGAATTATAAGTTAATTTGATAATTAACTAACTGAGAAAAAGACGACATTTTTTTTTTTCAAGTTGGGAATAAATTTTCGGCAATAGAAAGAGTATATATCGTTTAATGTATATCGTAGTATATATTGTTAGAAAGTTGTTATGGAATAATATCTAGTATATAAAGTAGTAGAAGATAGTTAAATTTGACGAAGAACTAATGAATAATAATTTCTAAAAACAATAATATTAGTAACAGAGACTAAACTAAATTCCCAAACTAAATGAAAGGCTTTGAAATTATATTTATATTAACGAACCAAAATTATATAATACACCGAATTTTCATTCTCTAGGGTAATAATATGTATTTTATCACACTTAGAGAAGGCATGATGAAGTGCATACCACTGGAAATATTTCAAGCCGTATAAGAAAATATATGTTAATAACTTTTATTCAGTTTGAAAATTTTGACCCGGTTATAGATTTAGAAAACTAAACTTTAATAACCCATATTTAGCCAGAAATGTAACTATTTAATTAATATGAGATTTGCGAACTTTTAGCGAATTTAGTGAAATTAACGGAATGGGAATGTTAGGATTCATAATGCTATATAATAAAATACGTGGAAGCATATAAACTTCTTTTTTGTTTATTCATCATTCGTATATGAATATGTAAATGTATACGTGTATGTATACATATTTTTATTTTTATTTATATATATATATATATATATATAGAGAGAGAGAGAAGGAGAGAAGAGAATGAATTATAAAGAAAAGAGGTTTTCAAAAAGTTCTACCGGTAGAAATAATCTCTCTAGCCATCTTCAGTAAAGGCTAAAATGTGGTAAATAACTAAACATCGCCACGTAAATTATTTATTAACATGTGCTATCTCAAAGAGAGACTCAACCAAAGAAAATAAAATAAACATGAATCAGTGTGTTTCAAAGAGAATGGATTAGCTTTGATCATAGAAATTCTTTATGTCAAAAAATAAGTTTGCTAATACTACCAGATTAAGGCTTGATTACTATTTATTAAATTCCTTCCTCAAATTTGTTTCTATTATGTACTTATTTACTGACCGGCTCAGCAGTCCTAGGTGGACCTTGGACTTCTTCACGATCTTTTTCCAATCCTCTCTATTCTTCATTCTTATCATCCAATTCATCACTCTCATTCTCTTTAAAACCTCTTCCACGTCATTTTTCCTTTTTCCGGGAAATTCTTCTCTAAGAATCTTTTTCGTTGCTTTGTCATCTGGTAGTCTTTCCACATGTCCTAGCTTCTTCAAACAAATTCTTCTAGCTTTAATAAAGCGTTCAATATCCTCATGCTTCAATAGTTCATCCAGCTCCCGATTAGTAATTATCCTCCACTCTCCCTGTATGCATAAGGGGCCAAAAATTCGTCTCATGATTTTTCTTTCTAATATCCTTAGTGCCTTCTAGTCAGCTACTTTCAGCATCCAGGCTTCGGCTCCATAGCATACAACTGGTCGAACCAAGGATTTTACACTTTGAGTTTTGTGAATCTGGATAGGAGTAACGCTTTAAAAAGCTTTAGCTTACCAAAGTACGCTATATTGCTTGCCATGATTCTTCCTCTTATTTTCGGGGTAATCAAGTTTTCGCTATTGACTAGCGCCCCAAGATACGTGAAACTCTCCACTGCTTCAAAAAAGTATTCCTGTAAAAAAAATCCTCTGGCTTCTTCTTGAATCCGAGGTCGAGACTACCATATACTTTGTTTTTGTGTTGTTAACTATTAATCCAACCTTCTTACATTCTACAACCTACGTCGATAGAACCTCAACTATTGCCGCTTTGCTTCTACCTATATTTGCAATGTCGTCAGCATATCCCAATATTCATCCAGTTCGGCATGCTAAATTACCACCTGGCGTGATCCCTTTAACTGTAGCGCCAAGTTAAATAGAATTGCTGAGAGTGCGTCTCCCTGCCTTACTCCAGAATTAAACTGAAAGATTTCGATAACCTGATTGCAAATGAACACTTTAGCTTGTGTGTTCAGCATAGCCATTTAAATCAGGGAGATTAGTTGATATATGATATTATATTCACGCAATGCACTAAAAAATTGGGTTCTTTTAATTCATTGAAAGGCTTGTTTAAAATCTATAAACAGTATATGCGAATTCAGCCAATCGGTGCCCATTTCCATTTGTTGAATTGTGCAGTGTAAAACTTTTTGCCACATCTTTGATGTAATCTTCTATTCCAATCAGGGCATTAAAATCTCCTATGATTACCACTGCATCATATCAAGGAGTTAAATCAAAGATACTTGCCAATTTATCATAAAACGCATCCTTGTATTCCTCGTATTTATCTTCTGTGGGTGCGTGCAGGAACATAAGAGTTATATATCTAAATTTTTTTGAGCCTTGCCTTGCGAATTCTATTGTCGATAGGTTCATTCTATTGTGTACTCTTAGTAATCTAATATATGTATTGGACATTATAGTTGTGGTTGTAACATCTCTTTATTTATATATATTAATGTTTAATGCTTACTCCAAAACAAAGAAAAAATATAATGTTATACCTAATATTACATTAGGTTTGAATTTACCTCTCACATGGTTTTATAGGAAATAGAAGCTCCTGTCATGCTTAAATTGCATAAATGTGATACCATTGGATTCAGAATTTTTACGGGAGAAAAGAGGGAGTTGGTAACGTAATATCCATTTTTTATTTTCTTTAAAAATAAATAAGGTCGATGTTTAGGGAACACATCAAAATTCATATTTTAATTTAATTTGAATTTAATCAAGTAAGCACAACACAGCTGTTATACTGCATATATATCTCAGTTATTGTTGTGACGCGGCCATTGTTGAAGCGTAGACGCTCACGTAGCGTGTGAGAATGACAAGACTGGCCAGTTCAAATTTCGTGTTTATGAGTTCCATTGTGATTTTCCAAAAAACTTGTGATTCCACTGGTTTAATAAAAATGGAGTAAAAACCTACAGCGGCCGGCAAGGGGCCAAGAAAGGAAGAGAGGGAAGATGAACAAGAAGACTGGCACAACAAGAAAAGAAAAAATGCAAGTATCCCAACCCACCTATATTTAACCTCCTTATAAAATACATGTAATAAAATAAAGCAATCAATTTTACAGATTCAAGTCTTTAATCCATTAACTTCTCTAATTTTACAGTCCACAGCAATAAATTATCACCAGCTCTTAAAGCAGAATTATTATGACAATATCCCTGACAGCCGTGGAAGGGATTGGCATATTAAGTAAACAGTCGATATAAACATTTCACTAGGTTTAAAAACTTTTCTTTCAATAGCCCCCTACCTCCCTATTTATGGAATGCGGGAGTGTAATTCTAGAGAAAGTACCAAACCTATTCTAACCAGAGTGGGGAAGTCGAGATACCTTTCGTGGGTCGGTCTCGAAATAATTTCAACTCACCGTATTCGACCGGCGTCGCTAGACTCGAGAATTTTAAACCTTAAGCTGCAATATTGGGAGTGTGGTAAGTCAGTGGATCGAGACAAATTGGGATTTGAAGCGGACATCAAGACTAGGTTCTGTTTCTTTGGAACTTAACGGACTCAGCGTTTTAAAGCCCAAAAATAAATCTTTTTCGAGATGTAATGCAAAGTACAAAAAAATGTAAAGTTGTGTTTGAAGCCACACAGGCTCACGTTAATTGTAATGTTGCTACGGGATGCATATCGCTTGACCTCGATTAGGTTCCTATGAATGAGAGAGAAGGATATCTTGATATAATATTTCTCAAAGGTGTTTTGTTTTAGTTGGTGCGTCATATTTCAGTTAATTCTTCATTGCACTACCCCGAAATCTCAGGCAAAAGAGTTATGGAGAGAAATAAACTTTAATTGTGAATAACACAAAAAGTTTTTTGAAAGGTTACTAAATGTCTTACAAGACAAAAAAAAATCAATCGAAATCAGTCTATTATTTTTTTAAAAAAATATAGCTTATTAAAATTTGTAAATATAAAATTAATGTAATGTAAATTGTAATTTAGGTTTAAAACATGAATGATTTTCAATTAATTTTCTTTTCCTTGGATAATTAGAATTGCCAATTAAAAGAGAAATGATTCACCCATCTTATGATAAGTTTCATTAACTTATTTCGTAATTATTTTATATACTATGCTAATTATTCATACGGGCCAACTAGCTAAATAATAAAGTTAACGATTTTGTAACCATAACTAAGATGTCTGACACAAAATATTAGACTACGAAAACTAAAAATACTTAAAAATTACAAGAATTGTAGTAGCAAAGCACATGTTGTCTAATTTATATACGGATACAATTACATCTACCATATTTATATTCTTGAAGTACCCGTAGTTAAATATTAAATTTTATTTTGGCATGAAGTGAAATCGAAAACCTGCGAAAATATTGGGTCAATGATGAACAGAACTCAATCTGAATGATGAAACGAATGGCCGCATTGTAATTTCTATCCTGACAAACACGTCGCCGCAAGGCGTGCAATACTAATCAGGTTCTGAAGTATAGATCGCTCAATACATCAGCCAATCCTAGTCGAGGAGATATTCATAAAAGGCATTTAGACACTTTTTCAACGAAATATTCAGCATACCTGATTCAATAACCAGCCACTGATAACGGTTCCTAAAAATTTCTTAATAATGTATTGTTTATAATTTAATTAATAATGTGTGTATTTTTGCAATTAATTTATGTCATAGTACTAACTATAACAAACATTTAATAGTGTTTTTGACAATTTTCATATATTTTATTTAATGGCTTAAAACAAATATTCTTGTAGGCCTTCCTCTGCCTGTTGGTTCTGGCGGTGTCCGCAGCGAAACAGAACAAGGATGAAAAGAAGAAGGACAAGAGGAGCTCGTTGCTAGGATACGGTGCCTATCCCGTGGACCTAGGATTGCAACCAGCACCTTACCCAGTACAGCCCATCGTACCACAAGTACCGGCAAGTAACCAATCATATTTCTAATATAATTTATGCACATATAGCTATCAGAAAAGTAGTAGCATAGTATAGTTTATTTTATTTGTCAAAGGAAATTCCTGTACAAATAAATATAATGGTATAATTAATAATGTTAGATCTTGAGTCTAGTACTGCATTCAAACATAACATTAACAATGTCCACAGCATTAAATATGACTAATATAATAACAGATTAGTAAACGATATATATATACATAAACAATTAGTAGAACATTTTTTTTTTCAATAATACATCATTTTTTTTAAATATTCCAGAGGTATAAGACAAATGACAATATAAATAAGCATTAATATATGTTATATGATTAACTATACCACTTAACAGTTCACTGAACAACCCTGTATGAAATAATACAGTTGGTTTATTTTTTTCGTAGTGTCTATTTTCAGTATCTCCTCCACACCAGCATATTCTCTGGATTTAGTGATAAATGTCTTCAAGTACTTATTTCTTGGTTCGTTGAACTTGATACATTGGATCAGAAAATAAGTTACCGGTTCAGTTGCATGCACCACATTCCTCACTAGATTTAATAGTCAAGGTAGCATCTTTTAAGTATATTTTCATAAAATCTTTGTTACAGTTCTTCCAATGATATATTGATATCCAGGAGTGGATGAGTTACGGAGAAAAAGTATGTTCCGTGTATCGTTTTTTGGCCGTATCGATTCGTGTAATAATGGTCTCAACACATTCACCGTCTTCCAAAACTCTCCACTGTTTTTTACAGTTCTCAAATTTTTAATTACTGATGCTCTAAACTCCATTTTTTTCCTTTTTATTATTTTTCTATATTCATCTCGGGCTCGGAAGTAATCTCTGATAAATCCTGTCGATAAACTGTTCTTTTGCATTATTCTTTGCAACTTCTTAAGATTTCGTTTACCTCTCCTGCATTCATGATCAACCATTTGTGCTTAGGTTGCGAATTGGTATTCGCGGTCATCTTCTTCGTAAATGTTAAAGCTGATTCCAACAAGTTCTCCTGCATTGCCTGTTTAAAGTTATCATACAGCTGGTTTACATCTTCAGAATAGAAATAAATTTTTTCAGAGTTGGAAATATTATCACAAAATTTTTTTTTTTATTTTTTTATGACATTTACAACTGTATTACATAAATACATCAAGTAAATTTGGACATAATTTATATAATGACATGAATACACTTGCTGAGTAACTACCCAATGGTAGCACTCTAATGATATGACTACATTAGGAGATCACGGGGCCATCTTCTTTTCAGACGCCTCGGAGGGTTATCAGGAATTGAAGAGGAAGCAAGGTTAGAAACGAGAGGGTTGGGATGATTCTGAAGTTTATTATGGAAGGATAGGTATCTGGATTGGGCCAAATCTGAAACATAAGGAACATTAAGATCTTTATGGATAATTTTATTAGTGACAAAGTAAGGAGCATTGAGGATTTTACGAAGGATTTTGGATTGTAAGGATTGGATGCGAGAGGAATTCGATGGTTTAGTGGAGCCCCATAGCTCAACTCCGTAAGTCCAAATAGGTCTTATTATAGTCAAGTATATGAGTCTTTTGTAATTAATGGGAAGTTTAGAGCGTTTGTCTAGTAAGTGCTGAAGTAATCGGAAACGTCGAGAGGTTTCTTGTCGTTTCAGTCTAGTATGAGGATTTCAAGTTAGTCGTTTGTCCAGGTGGAGTCCTAGGTATCGGATTTGCTCAACATTGATAAGTGGAGTATTGTTAAAGGAAACTGTAGGACAGGAAGTCGTTGGTTTACGACGAAGGGTAAAGGTAATTTGGTGGGATTTATTGGAGTTTATTTTAATTCTCCAGTTTTGACACCATTCTTCTAGATTTATGATGTGTGATTGAAGCATTTGGGATGCAATTGCTGGGTCATTGTTTACTGATAGGATACATGTGTCATCGGCATATGTGGTGATGACAGTTATCACAAAATAAATTAATCTTGTCTTCATCCCACGGTGAATAGTCCGTAACTAAGCATTCTATTGGCGACGCTATTCTGTTCATAGGAAGATTTTGTGCTCTAATGGTTTGCAAGGAGGTAATACAAGCCATGTGATCCAACAGCCCTGATATGCTAACGACTTCCATGTCTATAAATCTGTCCAGACAATTTTCATTTATACATACCAGATCGATCACCGATCTACCCTTGGTTGTAACGAAAGTATATTTTCCTGGTCTATCCGAAACACTACGGCCATTGCATATTATCATCCCCAGAGACTCCAGAGTTTCTACCAGAATTCAGAACCTTCGGTTTCGCCAACAGGTGTTTTAACACAAAAATTTTTTTTATAACGTGGCCAATGGGATGGTATAATTTCGGGGATAATGTATCAATAAGCCATCTTTTATTTTCTTTGTCTAAAAAATAAGGGAGTGATTTATCTATAGTGCTTAATTCGAATTGTTGTCGGATGGTGAGTGAGGACTGCGTCCTGGCTCTAAAAAATGGTCTGTTAATTTATTCACAGATTCAGTTAATGAATTAATTTGATCTTGTAATTTTTGGAAATCCTGATTTTGAGGCTGTTTATCAAATTGCTGTGGAGTAAAGTTTTCGAAGATTTGACCGTCAGGAGGTTCTAGATAAGTAACTTCATAGGGAGAAATGAAATTTCTAGTTGGTCTAGTCTTCATCGAAACAGTATTTTGGGCATTCCATTTAGGAAAATTTTGTTGGTTGTTGAATTGACGTTCTGATTGAACGATTTTAGTGGAAACAGTGTTTTGAGAGTTCCATTTCGGATTTTGTGGAGGTTGATTAAATTGGGATCTATATTGATTAAAACTAATAAAATTTCTTTGGTTCATGTACTGTAAGAATGTGTAATCAGCTCTTAATCAGAAAGCGGAATATTTCTGGGTCATAACTGTAGACGATCCAAATTATCCTCAACTAACAAACTTACCATCAATAAATTACTTTTAAAACCTCTAACATCCTTAAAATACAAACTCTTCAATCAAAAATTTTGAGAAAAATAACAGAGGCATCAAAAACAAAGACTTGGACATCCAAACGCTTTCAGAGACTGTAACACAATACTATTTAAACTTCCACCAGAGACACTTACAACACAAACCCATTAGTTCAAGCACTCATTTCAACGACGGAGCCGTAAATTCCTTCTCGACGACTTTTGTGGTGGTGACCCGGAGATTTTCTTACTTAATATGTAATGTACCTACAAATATGTAATGTGCACAGATTTGAATAAAGTAAAAACTTTGTAGATGGCAAATTTCAAACCTACACAACTTAAACACCTCTTTAAATAAATTTTTAAAAATAATCTGATGTTTCATTTTGTATATTATGTTTGTTTTTAAAATGGAAACGAAATGTGTGAAAAGCGATATATTAGTGTTAAAATTTAATACTATAAAAAGAGTAAAGTTACTTGAATAAAGTAAAGTTAATTTTCATTGCAAAACTCCATATTCCCATAATCCTGGAAAACCGCCCTAGTCCGACCTTTGAATAAAATTCCCAACCATACCTCACTACACGACTTCCGTCCTATTTCTCTCCTATCCAACCTTTCAAAGCCGCTAGAACACCTTGTCCAAAACCAGCTCTCAAACTTCCTAGAGTAATGTTCCTTTATCAACCCATTCTAATCTAGCTTTCGACCTGGCTACTCATCGCAATCCGCTCTCCTTAAAATAATCCATGGCCTCCAAAATTCTATTGAACACCAAAACCTTACTATCCCCATCCTTCTAGATTTTTCCAAAGCGTTTGACACAGTTGACCATAACATCCTCCTTACTAAATTGCACAAACTTCCTCTATCCAATAGCGCCCTGGGCTGCTTCAAATCATTGCTTTCAAATCGGTCCCAGTATGCAGACGTCCCAGGTCAACCTCCATCTAAGACCCTTCCCCTCTCTTGTGGTGAACCTCAAGGTTTCTCTCTCCGACCGAGGTACCATTTCCATCCTAAAACGTCTAAATTACTCCCGTCACCTATTTCCTTTTGAAACCCGTAGGCTCCTAATCACTTCCTTAATTTTTCCCCACTTTGACTATTGCTGTACGGTACATGGGGGCCTCTCTGGGGATCTCGAGGCGAAAATAAAACGTTTGATAAATTGCTTTGTACGATTCATCTTCGGGATCCCAAGGGACGCCTCTGTTTCTCATTTTTATGCGGAGTTAAAGTGGCTTTATCCTCCCTACCGGCGTAAGTTTTTCCAGGCATCCTTCCTCTTTCAAGTCATCCAATCCCACCGCCCTTCATACATCTCCGAGCTCCTTCAATTCAAATCCTCTGTTCGTTCCCGCAATACTCGTTCCCGGTCTTCTGATTTATACATAAGGGCCCACCGAACCGCTGCTTTCGACAAATCGTTCATTATCCGATCCTCATCCCTATGGAACTCCATCCCTTCCCACATCCGTCAATCCAGTACCCTTCCTACCTTTAAATCCCGCCTGTTCAATCATTTCTTATCCATTCAGTCCCCATAAAATTGTAAATAGATACTACTGTAAATATGTACATAAATTATTAGTTCGTTCTTTATTATTTTTACTCCAATTTTTTTATTCAATCTATTTTTTAATTTTTTTTATTATCAACTGATCAAAATTGGAAAGCAACTTATATGTATATGTGTGTATATATATATATATCTCCAAGACTGTTCAATTACTCTGTATTTTTATTTAAGTATCTCTGAGGGGACTCGACCAAGAATAAATAAAGTATTATTATTAATTATGAAACAACGAAGACCTATTTTCATCTCCTTTCATATAACACAAATGTGGTTATTTGTATGTTTCATTCCTAGTTCATGGGTCCAAATTTCGTTAAAGTAATAATTATTTTCAATTAAAGTTCTAGTTTATGTGTTGTGTAGATGTGGTTAACTATAAAAATATTATCAATGTATTTCAGCGTAATGTATATTTTTTAATCAAACCTAATAAACTTCTTAACAGATTTTTTTTTTTCATCTGACGATCCAGAAATAATAATGTATTTTTAGTGTAGAAATAATAATGTAACAGTAGACAATAAAGTTCTACGGAACCTGTTACAGGTGCAACCGCTCGTTCCAGTCCACCCGAACATCGTGCAGAAGCCAGTCCTGGGAGTGCTGCCTCCTCCAGCCTTCGTGAAGCCCGTCCATTATCCGGTGGCAGTGGAACGTCACGTTCCAGTTCCAGTTCCACACCCAGTTCCGTACCCAGTACACGTGGTGAGGCAGGTAGCAGTACCAGTGGACCGTCCTTACCCCGTACCTGTTCCAGTGGATCGTCCTGTACCCGTTTTCAGGAATGTACCAGTTCCAGTGGACCGACCTTTTCCTGTTCCAGTAGACCGTCCGGTAGCGGTTCCTGTATTCAGAAATGTCCCGGTGCCAGTAGACCGACCTGTTCCAGTACCGGTTCCTCATGCTGTTCCAGTTGACCGTCCTGTTCCAGTTCCCTATCCAGTACCACAGTCTATTGACTTTCCAGCTTTTCTGTCAAGGCCAGCTTTGGGTGGTACTCCGACTGTGCTGTCAAACAACCCACCAGTATTTCAGCAAAGCCCCACCGTATTTCAACAAACACCTGCTCTGCAGCATACTCCTCCTGTAATCGCAAATAACCCACCACCACCTCCTCCTTCTGCTCCAGAAGCATCCCATCCAACTGTTGTTGATGCAAATCGTGGATTATCACCACCTCCTGAAGAGGAACATCACTTGATAACTCCTGAAATAGACGTTCATCGTCCGTTGCATACCTCATTTCATGGACACCGTTTGCTGACCCACGCACACGTGAAACCTATTCATGAAATCAGAGGGTATCCTGTAAAATCTTACTATCGACATCACAGTTCATGGTAGTAAGAAAGAGTAAGTCAACATTTTTTCATATAGAATAGTGTTAAGTATTTGTAAGGTAGCATTTCAAGTTACTTAATGTTTTAAAATTAATGATTATAAAAAAAAAATCAGAATAGATTCACTTTGTCTGTAAAAGACTGAGAATTTTATGAACACAGTATGATTGCCAGGAATTTTTATAAGCCAGGAGAAGCAAGCACTTTTCTTATAGTTCAGGATTATTATTGTTCACAATAAGTTTACATAACATGAAGCATAGATGATAGACAATATTGACTATCCTAATATGGATACTATCCATTTTAGTGAATACTATCGATGAAAACTAAGTTCAGAAGTTCCCACCACTCACTTTAAGAGGATTTATTTCCTCTTAATTCTTTAATTACTAGGAAATTCTGAATAACCTTCAACACAATTTTTTTTTATACATTTTATATAATTATTGTATATTGATGAGGACAATAAAATAAAAAAAATGTAAATAAACAGTTATAACATGACATCGTGACAAAGCATAAAATACAAAAAAAATAATAATAAATTCGTAAAATAATGTTTTGGTTTACCTCGAAGAGAGTTAGTTAAAATAAATAAGTTTTAAATATTAATTTTAAGTCTCTATAATAGTGTTGCCGCCCGCTCTGTGACAAATCCTCCTATCTCAAACCTCATACATCCTGGTAGGCTTGCTCATTAATAATTCGTACTATTATAGGCTCAATGTTAGTGATTTTTAAAGTAAAATTAGATCCGAGCTATGTTTACTACTATCTCTCTTCATATATTTTAAACCCTTTTTAGATTATTTTTTCGAAGTTAATGGGTCAAGAAGTAAAATTAGCTTAATTTAAGGCACAAAATTAAATATATAAAAAAAAGTGCATATATTTTTAGAAACTATTGAAAAATTTTTTATAAAAATTTAAATAATAAAATAAACTTTTAAACGGATACAATATTCCTATCTTTTTTTATGTTCATTTTTCCTAATTTTGGCGTCTTGAAGTTTTTTATTTTTTACAATAAATTAGGCCAATTATCACCAACATTTTATTGATACGCTATTTAATTCGACGTTTCGACCATACTAAGGGTCATTTTCAAATCTTGATGAGTCCTCCGTTATATGTTCATCATTAATGTTGTAATTAATATGTTCAGTGAACATTAACTTGTCATGTTATATAGGGGCTTCGCCCATTTCTGTCATTTTTGTCATTTCTGGAGAGACTGAAATTTAATTTGATAATATTAAAAAATAATGGAAATTTCATGGCATCTTTTTTAATTTTATTTAAAAAGAAAAAGATAGGAAAGGTAAAGGTTACATTTTACTTTTTTCATTAACACAATTTTGCATGTAGAAATATTTCTAATAAAATAAGTTGGGATATATTTGTGTACAAAGGTTACAAGAACTATCAATAGGTTTATTGTTAGTGTTAAAATATCAATAGGATCAATTAAATTTCATCCATACATAATTGTGATACACACAAGTAACAAGTGTGTAGCTATAAGGCAAACAACTTAATTGAGACCCTGCTGTTTGGAGCTTAGGTTAGGATTAATATAAAATATAAAGTCTTGAATTTATTTTTAACATTTTTATTTATTTTATATTGTTTCATCACGTGCACTGATTCGTAGACTGATTTTTATTTCAATAATAAAAGCTGCATGCATACTAAAAAAGCCTTTGATGTTTAAGTTGTTCATTTAAACATATAATAGGTCGAACATATTACCATAAGTTCATCGATTTTTCATAAAAAGTCAGAGATCTTATAACCCTTAGAAACTTCAAATATCGTGTTTATCAGTGCTTTTATTTCATTTTCTAATTATATTCTTAAAACTATTTATTAAAAACGTTTCAATAACGGTAAAAATATTTTATAATCTTTATTTTCATGCAAAAAAAAAAAAAAAAAAATATGCTTTGGCTTTGTTCAATAAGGTTGAAATTCAATACTACAAATGTTATTTCTATTATATTTAGTGTCAAAGAGACTGTTTGATGTTTTTATGTCCGGATCAATTTACTTTTTGTTTGATATTTTTACCTAATTGCCTAAAATGGTTAATAATCTTCATGAAAATTTGGTTAGGGCCAAAACTTTATCTGTCAGCTAATTTCATGACAAAACAAAATATCCATCAACGATATATTATAAACTAATTCATAAAAATAATTATATTATTATTTACCATACCTGTATATCATGTACAACTAGAATTATTCTTTTGATCTGAAATATTCCTAAAACTGGCTAAGAAATCAAAGGCGGTTCCCTAAAGATTTATCGCTTACCCTGTATATTATAAATATGGAATAATTTATAAAAAAATATTTTATTTTTACAAAACTTAATTTCTGTTAGAAAGATTATATTATTTTATTTTACCAATTCATATCAATAAATTACACTTACATGTTTTATCAGGTTTGTATATTGTTGCATGAGTTTTCATGAATTGATTTTAAGAGTGTGTTAATTATATTTAGTCATCATTCAGTGCTTATTGTGATAGGGTATTTACTAGCAATCAATTTAATTTAAACAGTTTCTTTCAATTAACAGATACAGTAAACTGTTTCACTCGACATTAAACAGATACAAGGATTACATTCCATTAGAAGGGGACAAGTTGTTGTTAAAATCAGTACTGAGATCATAAATGCCATCCAATAGATCTCTAAACAGATCAAAACAAAGCCATCAATGAACTCAGTGCTGAGTTTAGGAACCTACCCAAGACAACACATTTTACAGGTTACTAAGTGGAGACAGTGATCCTGGCGCGAAAATAAGGAAACACTGAATTCTGCTTAATTTAACAGTTTTCCAAAACAGCTACAGAAGCTGTTTAATTTAAACAGATACAGAAACCTATTTCAGTTAAACAGCTTCTTGTAAACATAAACAGTTTTCTGAAACAGATAAAGAAAGCTGTTTAATTTAAACAGCTTCTTGCAAACAGATACAGAAACAGTTCTCTGAAACAGATACAGCCCTCCAAAGCAGGTACATTCCTCTGAAATAGATACAGCCCTCTACAACTGATTCATAAACTCCTCCTTGCAGCAGCACTAATATACTTTTTCTTTTTAATAGTTATTTCTATGAAACAGGACCATCACATTGTTGCAACCTATAAACAGCTGTACTGTTTACTCTTTAGTGAACAGGAGACTCCTTTTCATATCTAATTACTATTTTTTCATTATTTTCACTAATAAATTTATATAATATCTTTAAAAAATGTTATGATTCAAAATTATAATTTTAATGTCACTTTGACTTTTATAAACAATTATAAATACTTTTTTTTTTCATCCCACAGTTGATATATTATGGTAAAATTAAAAGAGGTATGATTAAATTTAACATTTAAATTGATCATTACTTTGAAGACACTTCACTCTACAAATATTATGACTATAGGATATTTAAGTTTATTTTTTTTTTTTTTTTTGTTTGTCTAATTTCAAAACAGTCATATCTGCTTTTTTTAAAGTAGCAGAAACTATTGCGACTGCTACTGATATTAAATAGATTTGCTCATCATTAACTGCTTGCTTTCGTCTTACTTAAGCTTTAGGTCTGGGGAAATATTAAAAATAATGTATCAAATTATTTCTATGAAGTCAATGTAATATTTTTTTGGATTTTAAAGAATTCAATATTTTTCAATAAAAAAAGACTGATGATGAAATCAGCTCAATAGATTATTATCAATGTTCTACATACTGATCTACAGGTGCCATCGGTTGACCAACTATTTACCTTAAATAAGAAAGGGAGTAAGAGATCTTGATGACTTAACTTAACAAAACAAAACTTTCTGCTTTCTGTAGGATTTGGTTACATGAAACTCTCTAAAAGGTTTTCGCTTGATCTTAATAAGTCAGATCTGTCCACAACAGATATTTATAGATCCGATATTTATTAAAAATGTAGATTGAATTTCTTTTTATAAAATAAAATATAGTTTGGATCTATTCAAAATATTGATTAAATTTTGGTTTAAATGAATTTGGCATTTATATTTATTGCTAAGCCATGTAATTAGTTTTGACATATATATTAAAACATATATTCAAACTATGTGAGTGTTAGAAAACTGTAGTTTTTGAAGTCTAGATCAGTGGGCGAAATGAATATTTTACAAGAAAAGAAAAAACACATTTCAAATCTTTAATGTTTCAGAAAAACTTCTATTTATCACATTAAATTGATACATGAGAAGGAGTTGGTCGGGGAGAGGGGAGGGGAGTTGTGCGGTCAAATAAATACTAAATTTTTAAAAATAGTATTTTTTTTTTAAATTTAATATTTATAATAATAATATTGACCACACCCCCCGACAAACTCCTTCTCATATTATATTATAGTCAACCATATCTACATCATTACAAATTGATACATATTTGCCATAAGAACAGAGAAACCATTTTAATAAAAAAAGGATTTTAGATTTTATGAGGATTATGACGATTGACATTTCTACTGTCTATGTGGTAGTATGGTATACCACAATCTATACATTTTAATCGCTATCAAGATTTCCCAGTGTTCTGCTATTAGATCTATTAATCTACTAATACACATAAATAACATTTATTAAATTAAAATTTACAATAAATAATTTCATAATAATTCCTGTTGTAAATAAAAAAACAAGAACCTGTACCACTACAACCCATTAAGGGTATTTGGTTCAGTACTAAGTGAGGAAGTACTGTTACAAGGCCAACGGTTGTGCAGAGAGATGATTGTGCCAATATCACGCTCAACCGTCAAGTTTTCTCTCTTAATTAATTATTAAATAAGGATACCCACTTTATGAAGTCTGGGTATGTACCAGGAGGGTCGTCCGACCCCAGGTCGATCAATGGCTGATGGAAAATTACCAGTCATCAACCAGACTCAATCCTGGGACCTAGAGCTCTGGAAGTCAGTGCTCCCCTGTTGTCAATTATGTATACATAATTAAAAAATGACAGGAGCTTGTACTAGAAGGTTGTCAAGCATTTTTCATAGTATAAAGTATTTACTAGTAAAGTTTAATTTTACAGATGTTATTTATTTATGTGTCATTAAATTCAGTCCTTTATTTCCAAAGTAAACCATAACCATCATTGCCAGTTTTTTAGGAAACACGAAAAACTATATTTTATATTCCAATTGCAATATCAAAATCAATATTTTTTAAATAATAAATTGAGAAATCTTTTATTTGTAGCACTGATTTGTTCAAAAGTAATTAAAAAACATTGAAACCAGAATAGGGCTCTCTGGGAAGTCTGCAAGAGTCCACAAAGGGTTGGTGATTGTTACTAAACTATTTTCAATTCTTATAAATATTTCAAGAAATAAAAAGAAACTTTAAAATAAGTGAACAGAAGATTAGAATATTTCTTATTCAATAGGTCAGATGTAAACTACTGTCAGTAACATTTTAAATATTTTATCATGTTATCGAAAAGTAGTCTCAGATCAGCTTGTTTTGTTTCTTGTTAAATCTTTATATTAAAAGTGTTAAACTGGTTGTTACTCTTTTAGTTGATTTATGATATGATATTTGTCTGAATGAATATGAAAATATAATAACAATCCAAAATCAGCAAAATTAGATTCATATTCGTTTACCTTTGAGGCACAGTATTACATTAAATATTGCAAGATGAAGTCATGCAAAAGATTCATCAAGCATGAAACTGGGTATGGCAAGACTTTTGTTAAGGTTTTTAACACCCTTATGATTAAAATATTTAAATTTTTTTAATTAACATTCATTTTTTTTTCTTTCCAGGTTTATTAAAAATTCTTCAAATTCCATTGTTATATCTAAGTCAAATATTTGTTAGTCCTAATAACTGTATGTAAATATTATATTATTTGTACAAATTAATTTTCTTTGTGTAACAGCAAATGTTAAACCATTTATGTAGATAGTTCCTAAGTATTTAGTTATCTTAGTCATACACTTTTGTACATGTAAAATATTTTTGTAATATACGAATTTCTTGTTTTTCCATTTTTATAACTAATACCATCCTTTGACCATTCATAATAAATTATAATATAATATTACTAATAAATATTGTTCGGAAAAACACAGAAATTGAACTCGCAGTGAAATTTGTTAAAAATCTGATACTGAATTTTCGCCATATGAAATGGGTTGATGAATGTTTAAAAGACAAGGGAACCAATATGTAAAAATGATAAATATGACTAATTTTCTTAAGCCATGACATCAAAAGTAAGTTATAATGGAAAAATCCAAACAACAAAGCCATGGGTCTCCAACATACAACTGAATAGTTAATTAGCGTTTTTTTTTTTTTTTTTTTTTTTTCTTTTCGTTTCATCAATTCAAGCCTCATCAATTCAGAAAAACCAAGGTCACATATAAATATAAAGAAAAAAAAAATAAGTATTGCAGTAGCCATTTCAGGAAACCATCCAAATATATACTCCAGGAAAGAGGAGGTTCTATTAACAACTGCTAAGCAAGGTTATAGTGAACAAATGGCTAGATGTAAAACAAGGGGGAAAATAGGTACAATTGATAATTAAAAATAGGTATACAATTAAAATATAATAATACAAAACGTGTTAACGATGAGATTTTTCAGAAGGAAATAATAGTAGAAATAATAATTTTAAAAATATATATTTTTTTTTACAAAAACATTCAGTATTAACTAATACAGAATCTGGGTTATTTCTAAAACTGAGTCAGAATAAAGTAGTATCATTGTATAATCGATTAAATCAAAATAAGCATTCTATATTTCTTACTATCATCCAAATCATAATACTAAATTAAAAGGCTCTATAAGGAAAAGGATCCTAAATAAAAGAAGACCTTCCTGGACGGGATCGGGGCAGTGTCTCTTTTGGCTAAAGCATTCTGAGGTAGTGCCTCCAACAACCTCAGTCGTCCCCATATGCCAGATGCAAGGTGGTGGAAGGGATGAATGCAAAAGAGTTATGCCTCCTAAAGAAAAAAGGATATTTTAATTTTATATCATATGCTCCACATTTAAATTTTAACAAAACAAGATTTGTTAAATAATAAACTGAGTGATTATTTTATATTTTTAAACTCATTTCTGCAATTAAAAAAGACAAAAGAATGCCACATGACCTAGAGAATAAGTTTAATGTTACTAATTGTATCATTTGGTGTCCTTGATTGTCTTTTGTATTTTTTGTAAAAAAATAGAAATGCAGTCTTGATTGGTTTTAAGTATAATATAGGTGTTAGTACAAATACCAAATTAAAAAACCTCTGTGTATTTTTTATTTGTATGCTATGAAAAGGCCACCAACAAACTACAAATGAACAATGTCTGCTCTCAAGTTTAACAAATGGTAGATTGTGACTCATGGTGCATTGATATAAATACATTACTAAAAAAATAAAAAGATAATGCTACCATTGACTGTTTATGAAGAAAGTGAAATTGCTTATTCATAATCTGAACATTGAGTAATGTTTACTTTCTTATAATGATTTCTATTTTTTAGTATAATTTATATTAGATCTGGGGCCTCCAAACTAATACAGAGATTAAATAAGTTAGTAATAAATAATGTTAATGAATTATATAAATTAATAATATAATGATTAACTGAGAAACGTAATACCATAATGAAACTAAACATTCTTGTTATAATTAATTATACGAGAATGTTGTTTATTAACTTTTTTTTTCTCAATAATTATCATCAAAATTTAAAAGTATTATGGCTGTAATTTTATTACATTAGGTAATATACTGAAAATTGACAAATTTTTCAAGGAAATAAGAATGAGGATTAGGATGATAATTCAAAAATATAACTTGAATTGAATTATAAAAACTATATTTATTAATTTTTAATAAACATATGTGACAATTTACTAATTTAACAAAACCAAAAAAAAAAAAAAGAAAAAGACATATTAAACCGAATTTATGCCTCTTTAGATATACATCATAAATTGATATTAATGTCGGAGATTATATTATGTAGTTAAATATTATATTTTTTTAAATGTGCAAATGAGATTACTTTAATTTTTTTGACTAGCTACTGTAACATTTACACTGACATTCATGTTATAAATAAATACTCTGAAAATTATATTGTTTCAAAAACAAATTGATTGCACAAAGTTACAATATCACGATTTATCCTTTGCACCTTATGTCGTTGATGATTCCTTGGCAATCAATGACTCTCTGATTGCCTTCCAATCGTCATTAATTTCTTCCTCAATAAGCCTAGAAACATAGTATGGTGAAGAAACTGGGGGTGGCTCATTCCGTGGTGGAAGGAGGTGCATTCTTTTCTTCTTGAGGGGTGGAGGAGCCGGGGAAGAGGACGGGGACTCACTAAGTGAGGATGGCTCATTACGTGGTGGAAGGAGGTGCATTCTTTTCTTATTGACGAGTGGAGGAGCCGGGGAAGAGGGCGGGGACTCACTAAGTGAGGATGGTTCATTACGTGGTGGAAGCAGGCGCATTCTTTTCTTCTTGAGGGGTGGAGGAGACGGGGAAGAGGGCGGGGACTCACTAAGTGAGGATGGTTCATTACGTGCTGGAAGGAGGCGCATTCTTTTCTTCTTGAGGGGTGGAGGAGCCAGGGAAGAGGGCGGGGACTCACTAAGTGAGGATGGTTCATTACGTGGTGGAAGGAGGCGCATTCTTTTCTTCATGAGGGGTGGAGGAGCCGGGGAAGAGGGCGGGGACTCACTATGTGAGGATGGTTCATTACGTGGTGGAAGGAGGAGCATTCTTTTCTTCTTGAGGAGTGGAGGAGCCGGGGAAGAGGGCGGGGACTCACTAAGTGAGGATGAAGAACTGGAGGAAGACTTTATGTTTTCTTTGTTGAGAACTTCCTTGATGACTTTTTCGTCCGACTCCCAGGAGTTCCCAGCTTCATTCCCTCCTTCTTCTTCCCCTGAGAACTTTTCTTTCTGCAAACAGAAAGAATATTATTATTTTTAATTAAATATTGAACCTTCATTTTAATTTTAAGTCTGGGGTTTAATGGAAAGGACTTCAAAATATAGATAGAATAAAAAATTATTTTGTGACATAAAATCATTTTATGGAATAGTTGGACCTTACAAGTATTACACAAAAATATCAATGATATTGAGAACAATATTTTAATGCCCATGCACAATTGCATTTGATAAGATGACAATTTACAGTTGAGGCTCTTACATATAATGGGATAAACTTTGTGAAATGAATAATCTTGGCTGGAGAAACTTACGCATTCTCAAAAAATAAATTGACAACATCATTCAATACTTTATTACATTCAATTGTTTAAAAATATTTGAATATTTTTATTTATTAAATTTTAATACTGTATTAAATAAATACTACCAATAAATATGCACAAATTAGAAAGAATCAAATAAACAGACTTGTAGAGATACTACTCAGTGATCATACTGCCTAAATAATTCTAGGTAAGAAGATCTCGAGGCCATCTTCTTTTCAGACACCTAGGAGGATTATCAAGAATCGAGGAAAAAGCAAGAATGGAAACAAGTGGATTTAGATGGGACTGAAGTTAACATGAAGGGATAGATATCTGTCTTGGGCTAATCAGCAACACATGGAACATTAAGGTCTTTATGAATGGTTTTATTTGTGACAAAATATGGGGCATTAAGGGATTTTGATATAAGGATTGAATATGATAGGAAATCTATGGTTTGGTGAAGTCCCAAAGCTGAACTCTGTATGTCCATATAAGTATTATTATAGTCATGTAGATGAGTTTTTGTAATTAATTGAAAGTTTAGAGCGTTTCTCTAGTAAGTGTTCGAGCATTTGGAAGTGTTGAGCAGCTTCTTGTCATTTCAGTCTAGTATGCGGATTCAAAGTAAGACGTCGTTCAAGTGGAGTTCTAGGTAGCGGACTTGTTCAACAGGAACAAGTGGGATATTATTGATGGACATTGTAGGAAAAAAGTCATAGGTTTACGACGGAGGGTGATTTGATGGGATTTATTTTTGTTCTTCGATTTTGACACCATTCTTCATGGCTAGTGATATGTGATTGGAGGATTTGGGACGCAATTAAATGCTCATTATTAATAGATAGCAAAGATGTATGATCGGCGTACGTGGCGATGACAGTGTCAGGATGGGTTGGAATGTCAGCTGTAATAGCTGTCTAGAGGAGGGAGCCGAGGATACTACATCGAGGAACGAAAATAGTCTAAGCAAAGAGGGATGAACAAACATTGTTATGATTTACTTTGAAGTATTTATCAGCAAGTTTGGAACAGATAAGGAGGAAGTATGTAGGGGGTAAGAATTTACGGAGTTTGTACAGTAACCCCGGGTGCCTGACTATCAAACGTCTATGATTTATTATATGATAATTTATTATAAAAAGGACTAATAGAGTGTTCACCCATCTTATAAACGGATTTAGATCACATAATTGTTTTCTGTTTGGTATTTTCTTAACCTGTTAAAACACGTTTACTATTTCCATCGTTAAAGCCATGGAACAATTACTCTTCTCATTATAAAACAAAAGACATACAAAATTTTAAATTAGTGATGGGGCCTAGAGGCGGACCTGTGATGCTGTCACAGTGACAGGGCCGGAGCTTGTAATCACAGTGACAGGCGTACCGAAATCACAGTGACTGTCACTGTAGGCGCTGTGAAATCCAAAACAAAATAGATCAAAATATATGCACACGAAAATACAGCAGTTCTCGTAGTCCTTGGTTCAGACTCCTTTTTATCGAATTATTAACATCTGCCTGAAACTTCGTAAATAGTTTCATCTCATCGTAATCTACAACTATTTTATTTACAAAAACTCTTGGAATTGGGTCGTTTTCGATCTGGGGAGGGGCAAACTTTGTCTATTTAATTAGGTACTAAAAGTACTCGTAAATACTCATTTGCGTTCTACTTGGATCGTAAGATAATTTGATCACCAAATCAATAAAAAAAGGTGGCCTACAAAAATATTGGGCCGTTTGGCATGACCTACACCCCCAAATTTTTAAAATAACGAGGTTATATAGGACAAACGGATCAATATTTTTGTAGACTTCCTTTTTTATTGATTTGGTGATCAAATTATCTTACGATCAAAGTAGAAAGCAATTGAGTATTTACGATTTTTTAGTACCTAATTAAATAGACAAAGTTTGCCCCCCTCCAGATTGAAAACGTCCCAATTCCAAGAATTTTCGTAACTAAAATAGTTGTAGGTTACGATGAGATGAAAATATTTACGAAGTTTCAGGGGATGTTAATAATTCGAATTTTGTCCGCTCTCCAGATCTGTTTCCACTCAAATTATATTTGGTCAACAACATCTACATCGATATTTTATTATACATATCTAAGGATCATTCTTGAAATTCAAATAAATATAAGATTTAAAACATTTTTTAAGTAATTGTAAACTTTTTTAAAGTAATCTTAGACTACGGATTAGTGATGGAGCCGTATAGGCGGAGCTGTGATTCTGTCACTGTGACTGAGCCGGAGCTGTGATTCTGTCACTGTGACTGAGCCGGAGCTGGTGATCACAGTGACAGGCGCATCGAAATCACAGTGACAGTCACTGTAGGCGCTGTGAAATCACTGTGCTCCAATAGAAGGTTCTCCGTTATTTTATTGGTGCGTAATTTTTTGTATTATAAATTTTAAAAATCATTAAAATTTATTCAAATTTGTTACATTAAAATATTCACGTTTTTATAAATTAAATTATAATAAATAATTATAATATTTGAAGAAAAAAAAATTAAAAATAGTAGGTACGTTTTAAGTTTCATAAGTAGGCCTACAAAAAAAAAATCCTTCCTCAGAAAATAAATTCTATAAACAACAAATGTTTATACATTCACATAAAGTAGATTCAAGTGACTGAATTTTAAATTACTGAGAGGATTTTGTTTTAGGGATTAATGATACCGTCGAGTAATAATTTTAAAAGAAATAGCATAATATTTACTTGCGTTTGCGAAATCCAACAGAAAAATATGAATAAATTAAAAAATAAAGGAAAAGCAGTGGTACCCAGAAGAGAGTTTGATGACGCAACTTGAGCCATCAAAATTTTTGAGGGGGGGAGGCATATTTTGGTGGTTTTTTGAATTTTTGAGGGAGACACATTTTGGTGGGCTCATGAATTTCCGGAATGAAATTTCATACTAAGGAACAAAGGGAAAACATGGAACAGACCGCAGCAAGTGTAATTGTAAGAGGTGAGCAATAAAATATCTTGGAAGTGGATAGGATAGATTCTTGCACCATCGACCCTGGGGGAGAGAGGGAGGGGAGGGGATGGACACGCCTGAGGAAAAACATTGAAATATACATATTTTAGTTATCACTAAAAAAATAGCTATTCCAATATCTGTTCTGTAAATTCTAACAGGAACATTTAACCAATGTTATAAACATAAAAATCGCAAAAACTGTGTACAAAAAAAAATCTCACCAGACCAGCCATCTGTAACTACTGTCCTGCACACACACAACTGACTACTAACAGATCTTTATGTTCCTTTATACCTAGGTTAAGAGAAGGAGGTACCTTAAGGTTTGGGTAGGTATTTTAGCTTTGAGCAGAAATATTTAAGAATAACAACAAAAGAATAAATATAGTTGTAAATTGATAGAAGATGTTTAGATATAGGCGGAAGTTTATAAATATTTATATTTTCGATTTGATAATTTCATGGTATTTATTTATGATGTAAACATTAGATAAATAAAACTAAGAAATCATATAAATTAAAATGAATGGAAGCTATACAAACTTAAAATTTTAAAATATATAGATTAATAACAATCATTTGAAGAAAATTTATAATTTTAATGTAAATTAAATCTTTCTCACTTTCTTTTAATTAGTACTGCATATATAATTTCTCGTACCAGAGTATAAAAATAATAAACTTTTTATAACATAAAAAAAAAAGAAAATTTTGAATAATATGTATCGATTATTATTGAATAATATTATATGAGAAGGAGTTGATCGCGGGGTGCGGTCAAATTAATACTAAATTAAACAAGTAGAATTATTTAGTTTTTGCCGACGTTTCGACCCACTTTGCAGGTCTTCATGAGGGTGTAGGATGTAGCAGTACGGGAGGCAGTTAAAACACTCTGTACAGCAGCTCGGCCAACAAGTAAATGAAGACAAAACAAAACCTATGATAATAAGCCGAGAAATCTCAAACTAAGAGTGTACAATGCTATTACAAAGCCAGTTCTAATATACGGCTGTTAGACCTATGTCACCAATAAATACATAGAAAGACCATTAAATAACTACTTACAGAAACTGGTAAATCAATATACCACTATATGAAGGCACGGAGGTTAAGATGTAGCTCGTAGCAATCCATCTGGAAGCCTCTACGTAACAATTCAATAGAAGGCAAAATACCACGTGGAAGGCCAAAAAGCAGATGGATAGAATTAACAAAGGTGCAACAGAGCTGCGTGCAGACAAATGGAAATAAATAGCCCATGACAGGCAAAGATGGAGTAGGCTTGTTAAGACGGCAAAAGATCTACATGGTCTATAATACCAACAGAAAAAAAAATACAATGTGTTACATATTGGAAGTTTTTATTGGCTACAGCATAGTAATTTAAACAATTTCCAAACAAAAAAGAAGCAAAGAAATTTTTTTTTTGGGTCCTTCCCTTCCTCGCAGTTAAGGCTATACGGGATTTTCCCGGGCCAGGGAGTGTGGGCGGGGATTTAAAAGACTCCTACGGCACCGGGACGCGAACTCGTGACTGTTTTTATATCTTTGATTCATATGTCAGTTTGCCGGGCAACGGCGGTGCAGTGCACACGCTTTAGCCCATTCGGCCACTCCGCCCACGAAGCAAAAGAAATTTGTAAAAGAATATTTTTATGACAGAAAATATTGAAAAATTTTAGTTAAACCAAGCCAAGTAAAACCATGTTGATCTTAAATTCACACCTCCGTGAATCGAATATCAATAAGACTGATAGGTAGAGAACAAAGTGAAAATATTCAAAACTTATACCAATAACCAGTACATTATATTTGGAAGGATAAGCCAGGTAAAGTCGTAAATAAGCACTAAATAGGTGCTACATCCACTTGTTACCTGAAGAAACTGAGGTACGCAGAATGGCCCAGACTTTTCAAGGAACTGATGTTTTCACCAAGCGAGCAAGCTTAAATATGCAGCCTTTGTTATCCATTTATTCTCACTAATGAATGTCAACTGTCTTATGATTGAATTTCGCGTAATATATTAGAAAATAAATGTATTGATACTAATATATTAAAATCATCATCTCATTATAATATTTTATGGTAATTTTGTGGATTTACATCATTTTTTTCTAAGACTTCTACATCAAGAGTTATTGTCTGCTGAATTGTAGCCGTGGCTGCTTCATGACCACAGTTTCTACTAAAAATTCACTTATATGCCTGATGAGAGATATTTTTGATCCTATGAACTTCCATGTCTATAGCAGACCTGTATATATTTTCAAATGAATTGTTTTAAATAGAAAATAGAATACTGTTTTTGTGTTTTGATTATTAAGAAGTAAAATATAAAATACACTGTTTGTAACTGTATTTTATTTTTAAAACACATAATAAAAAATGAAAGTATTTTCATCCCAAATGCTGAAACTTAACAAAATCCTCCCACCTAACTTTGATCTACCCTTCGGACGTTTGCCAGTCGGCACAGAGCATACTGGTCTCTTAGAAATTCTTTAGTTTCTAAGTCCAACAATTTTACACGCCCGTTTTATACAACACATTGTAAGCACCTCGATTATATTAACTGAATAAAATTTATGAAATACGGCGTTGTTTAACGGTCTTGATTCCCCAGTCGACTCATCCTTATTCGGTCCGATTATTCTACGCAATACTTTATTTTTAAAAACTTCAAGAGGTTGCTTATATCTTAATGTATGCGGCTACATTTCGAATCCATAATGAAACGTAGGTACGATGATGGTTTTGTAAATTCTCATTTTCAAGTTTTGGTACAACAGGCGCGTTCTAACTAGTTCAGTCACAGAAAAATAAAAAGCATTTCCCACTTTCAACTTAATTTTAATTTCCTCTTCAATTTCATTTTTTCTAGTTATCGTAGACCCTAGATACTTGAACCTCTCTACGTATTCAACCAAATTCCCTTCTATATTGATATCACCTAAATTGTCGCGTTTTTTGCCTTTAACTATACATTTTTCTCTTAACCGAATTTAGTTTGGGACCAAGATCTTTACAAGCTTTCATTAACCGTTGCCTTATTTCGTTTGTGTGATTACGCTTAACTGGACCAAATCATCAGCATAACCAAGCACAGATTCAATAATTGAATAATTATCAATTTCTAACTTTATTGAATGTTTCCATAAAGCACATCATAACTATAATTACTGATTTTTTGGATTATCCATCTCAATTAAAATATTATACAGCTTCTGGCGGTCAATAGAATCATAACTTTATAATCATAGAAATCGACATACAGCTGGTGAACAACACCGTTGTACTCTATTTTTTTCTCTAATATTTGCCATAAAGAAAATATTTGATCAATAAGGGGACAGTTCTATCTATCTGACATTTTTTTTTTATAATTTTCTCGATGTATTCCGTGATTCGATTAGTAAGGATTAATGTGATAAATATTTTATTCCTCAATATTTAATACAATCCACCCTTGGGCCCGTTTTGTGAATCGGAATAAGAAAGGATTCTCCCAGATCTTTTTAACCAACAAAAGTATTTTAGTACCTCGGTCCCCCGTGCTTTATATGATTTTAGTATGATTAGCTACTTCAACTTCCTCTTTACTTTACTTTGTTTATTTATTTAATTATTTATTTTCTTAACGGCCCATCAGTTTGGCACTCAGAAGGAGGACAGAGATCTCCTTTGATGTTTACTATAGACATCTATAATAAAGAGATATCTATTTGATCCTTACTATCTCCTTAGGATCATTATAGGTCTGTTGAATAGTGTTGCCCAAATCGAAGACCGAGACGAGTCTTGGTCGCACTCAGTCTTGATCTTGGTCTTGCGCAAGAGTCTTGCAGTTATTAGCTTATTGCTATTTATTAAATATGTTACTTTAGATCCTAGAAAACACTACAGAATCTAAAAATTTAGATTTTTATTGACATAAACATAGAAAAGTATAATAAAATTAGCTTGACAATATATCAAAGGCATTTTCAAGAAAGATAGTGATAGAACCCCAACTTGGAATGGAAGATTTGTAAAGTAAAACCAATCTACAGAATGTCACCAATTAT